CCTGCGATGGGAGCAGCGAGTAGTATTGGCCCGAGATCAATCCGACGAGACCCACAACAGTGGCCTAGCTAGCACCGACCCGTCCGCGAGCCACCTGCTCGGTCCGCGACGATTACGTTCACAACACGACATCGATTCGTTGACCTCCGATCCCTGGCGCATCCTACCCTCCTTCAGCTCCTGCCAATCACTCGAGAACACGCTTAAACAGTTCAGGTCTGGTGGCAAATCGCTGAACTAGCTTCTATGGAGACCAGTACTGTAGCCAGTAATTTCGCTCGTGACGCTGAGAATCCAACACACAACCGTCTACTATGTGTAAAACGTGAAGCTACGCGGGGCGAGGCTCACAAACGCAACCATGACATGCTATACCCGTCGACGTGCTGCAGCGTCTAAGCAAAGTAGCATCACACAACAGTCCCTGTATTGGCCGGAACTGTTGTTTCCCTACTCTGACCGTTCAGTGACTGCAGTGCAACGTAAATCAGCATGAGAAACGGTTCTCATCACCATGTGAACAGCCGACAAAGTGCACACAAAACGACCATGTGAGGAGCAACATCTTTGGTATACAGCATGGCACGATCGCACGGGATTTTGAAACAAAAACGGACGACATGAGTGAATCTTGCATATAAGCGTAGCACAAGACAACACCAACCTGAGGATTATTAGGGCAACAGTCACTCACTCACTCTCGGCCTACCGTCCCAGCTCAGTCCGCCCTCGCCGGTCGCAACCGAGCTGCGTGTCTCTAAGGTAGCTGGGCAGCACTACCGAGCGCCTCGAGCCGCCCGAGGGACAGTTAGTTCTACCGGCGCTACCCTGCGTGTACACCGCCAGCGAGGGTCGGCATTGGTGCGGCTACAGAGCCTCAGACGAGGTCAGCCGGTCTCTAGCCGGTGCTGGGCTGGGAGCAGTGTCCTGCCCCGCCAGCACCGAGCTGGGGCAGCGTCCCGCCACGCCGGCGCGCCTGGCTCGTCACCGCGGTCCGCCGCGAAAGACTAGAGCGGCCCGGGGCGGTGGTCGTCGGCCGTCGGTCGGACGCCAGAGAAGCTCGCAGCCCGGCCGTCACTAGGAGCCGCTCTGGCCCTGGTCGCCGCCGCCGCCGCCAGCACTGCCGCCGCCTCCTCCTCCCCCGGCGCCGCCCGTTCCCGACGCCCCAGAGGGACCGGCCGCCTGCGGGTTACTGCCGGCGTCTGCGGCAGAAACACCGATTAAAGATAAATATCAACGAGCAAAACAATGGCAGTCACAGCACCGGTACAGGCAGCGACTGTTACGGTGAAGGCCACCCATTATCTTCTCGGAAAGAAGCACGGTCAAATATGACAGATACGCAACGCATCATGCCGAGTTGCATCTAAATTATAATAAAATATTCCAGCTGATCTTCAAAGTGTATTTAAAGTACGTTCAGCGTAAGGCAGTCGGTTCAGTGGCGTTCTTGAGAGCAAACGTTTCCCTTGTACGTACATGCATATTGCATAAGTACCGCAGTCCCAAACCGTGACACATGAACATGCATCGTCTGGTTGGTGCCCAACCGCGAAGAGCCTAGTTTTAGTAGTAGTTTATTGACACAGTCTCATAACCCTATAACCAAGCCAAGTTTCAGCAAAACTAATCAAGAAACTGCAGAATAAGCGTAAGCGTTACAATTTTGACACTTTTTGTTTGGCACGCAGCACGTGCCGGCACGGCCATCCATGTGCATCAATAGCAGCAAATCAAAGTGAATCAATGCTTGAAAGGTCGAGGGAAGGCACAATTTAACGCAGCAGACCGCTTGCTGAACGGTCAAACGGCCGTCGAGATAAGGCTGTGAAAAGCGTCACTGGTGATTACGGAGCGAGCGAAGCGAGTGTAGTCTTTCCTTAGATTAGCGGAAATTTCTGAGTATGAGCGGCCGGCCGTGCGGACGCTTTTGCGAAGCTTATATCTCAGCAACCACTTGACCGATTTACATGCGGTACTTTTTGTAGGGTAGCTTCATTCCTTCTTCCAAGTATTGGACTATTCCTGATGCATGTGGGTGACCCCTTATGCACGTGCCACGTGCAAAACGAAGAGGTGTCAGTTTTGTAATTGTTGCAATATCTCGGTAACTACTTGGCCGATTGCGCTGAAAGTTGGCATGTAGGTAGGCACCCACTAGGCACTGCATATCCATGTGCCAGAGTTGGGGTGCTGCAGCACGTGCGCACGTGCAGGGGTCGTTTCCAGATCTCGAGAACGGCTCGACTGATTGCGCTCAAATTTGGTACACAGTTAGGGACCGGTTAGTAGGGTGCCGTGCACAAGTCAGTTGGGACCCATTTTGCACGTGCGCACGTGCAGGGTGTCGTTTTCAGATCTCCAGAACGGCTGGGCCGATTGTGCCCAAATTTGGCACTTCGCTAGAGACCGGTTAGTAGGGTGCCGTGCACAAGTCAGTTGGAGATACCCCCTCGCAATTTTGCACGTGCAAGGCCCACCCTCTCGCTCGCTCCGTTAGTCGCCCAATATTAAGGCGTTATACTGGTGGTTGGGTTAGGACGGACAGTTCATACTGGGATGTTCCCGTTAAACCTCAGTTGAGCTCGCTAGCTCGATGCAATCGCTGGTTCTTTCATAACAATTTACGATGTCAAGTGCGCCTACTCCATCACAGCGGACACACCACCGGGCACCGACTTTTGCCTCAAAAGACTCAAACTCAAAAAGACTCAAAACTAACTCAAAAGAGCGGGCACCCAGGGCGGGACAGAAGGGACTCTACACGCTACTCACCTGAACAGGACATCTTCTCCATCTGGCCGGGAAGGTCGGCCGTCGATGTGCTGGCGTGCTCACCGCGGATGTCCGGCAGGGCGTTCCTGCGGCCGGCGCGGCCCGTCGACGCAAACTCCTGCAGCGCCTCGTCCATCTCACCCATGTCAGGCTGGCTGACCGCCACTGCCAACAGAAGATAAGACATAAGTATATTGTGAGTCTCAGGCTGGCTGACCACCACTGCCAACAGAAGATAAGACATAAGTATATGGTTTCATCAGGCTGGCTGACTGCCACTGTTAACAGCGCACACACACATGTATATGGCTCGTCCTGCCATGTGAAAGACATTCTTCTTAAAATGGGGATGGTTGAGAGGTTAATGGTTATGGTATCGCTGCCGTTCAAAGGCAAAACCTACTAGGTACATTCGGGTGATCTCTGGCCCAGATATGGCCTCTGACCCGACCCAATGTAATAGTTTTTGCCTTTGAACGGCAGATCAGTGATTGGTCACTTGGAAATAACGACTTTCATATCTGAACATTTCACGACTCATCACAATTTTTTCATAAAGCAAAAAACACTATCAATTGCATGTTTGTAGCATACATATTAAGCTGCCGGCTGCCTCAAGGTGACAGTCTCACCCCACCTCTGAGGCCTGAGCTCTGACTGTACACTCGGAAGTGTGATGCAAGTGCAACCCCCTGCTTTAGGGGTACTTATTATCTTAACGACTACCGAAAGACTACCCAAGACACACTTGAGCATAGCAAATTCAAAATTTTAAGGTTGCATGATGCGTAATAAGCTCAAAGCCTCGTTCTTATCATGCAGTGTTGGAAATCTAAAATTGAAATGATTGAACATCTTACAGATTGGGATCGAGTTTGAGTTAAAAATGCAATCATAAGCAATAACTTACAATCGCCGTTTTAGGGCGTAGCACTAAAGTAAGTTTATATCTTGACGTTTAAGGGCGATTGGACTTGAAAACTATGGACATATTCAATCAATATTAAGCACTGAAATTATCGGATATTCAAATTTGGAATAATTGATTCACATTTATACACACACTGCCTGCACCGCCTCAAAGAAGAATGCACATGCAACTGTTCACAGGACAATTTTTCAGAAGTACCACTAGCTGCATTTTCATTATTTTGTGCAGCCTATTTGCTGTTTAACCTGACGTCATCAGAATAGCGTTTGGCCATTGGTTAATAATTGCTATCGAGAACCTGAGAGTATTCTTCAAGACAGAGGGTAGCTGGCGCAGCAGAGACGTAAAGTGGCGAAAACCATTTTTTTATGGAAATTAAATAGGCTTGAGTGACGCGATCTGTAGGGCATTTAGGTTTTGAGTTTCGGAGGAATTTTGGTGAGAATCGTTTTATTTGAATAAAGAATTGACCAATTCAGCTATAAGCATTACCAAGGCTATATAAACCTGAGCATTACCCAGAGCTAAGTTCCTCATCACAGCTCTTGAGAGTTGAGGTCATCTTGATCTTCTTGCGAATACCTATGCAGGAAAGGTAGGTAGGTAGGCCTGGCATACCAATACCCACATATCCAAGGGCATACCGGTAAACCTACCTCCTATATTCATTTTTTCCTCAGCCTTTCTGGCTGTATTTAAATATAGATAAATACTTGATGACCCATTACATTTTTTACATGTTACAATATTACATAACATAAACATATTATCAAATGCAAGATTTGCTCACAGTTCAATTGTGATTTAAAGTTGCAATTTGATTTGTTTTGTCCCACCCCAGAAATTTTATTAATAAGTTAAGTGTATGAGAGCTATGCTTAATTTGAGCTTTACTTTACTGAACGCAAGCGATGGATGTACATTGTAGGTACAGCAATATTTGTCAAATACACCTAGGTAGGTTCTACGGCTTATATAGCCTTTTTTCACTTTTGCCCTTGCAAAGTAAAAGGAATGTTTTCTAATTGCAAACATGCTCACATCATAGTCACATTGGAAGGTTTGAGTCCAATGTCCAGGCTAGCACTCTTAGTTTACTTTTCAGCTGGTCCAACTGCCAGGTCAGCTTGCAAAATTGCACCCAATGCATGGCTCATGTGAACCATGATGTCACAAAATCTATTCAATAGCTGAGCTCTCACTGAACCTATTTACAAAACTCAAACAAGTAGAAGGTACTCAGGTGCCATAAAAATTAATTTATTGCCTTTTTTGTTACCCCTTTTTCAGTGTTCTCTGTGGTGCACTACTGCATGCAATAATGCCTGAAAAGCACTCTGAGAAGGAGAGCGGCGAGCTGCTGCCGCGCTGCTCCGAGTGCACGCGCCGCTGCCGGTCCCGGCAGCACGCCGACCTGGTGAGCGCGGCCATCACGCAGGCGGACGATGAGCCGCTCATATCGTACCTGAGCTGGGTGTGCCACGCCGCCGCCACGGGCACCGACTCGGCCGGCCGCACACCGCTGCACGTGGCAGCCTCCTGCGGACGGACCCAGGTCAGTGTGGCGGGCGGTGATCAAAGGGCGCATTCTTTGTCCCGATGAAGAGCTATGTTCGGTGTTCCATTAGGGAGATCGTTAGCCTCCGGAGGTGACGAGCGCGGTAGTGAGAGTCTGGTTCGTGTTGATTCGGCGATCGCTATTCGTTCCCGATGGGATTGGGGATGCCCTGTAGGCGTCGGCACTGGTCGCTAAATCAGCACGGATATTAATAAGAATTTTGTGCAAAGCTAGGCTAGTAGGATTGAACAGAACCGAGCGCTCTCAACTGATGTGCGAAGATCTGCCTTGTTCTCTCGCTGAGTGAGCCCGACCCCTGCGTCCCTTACCATGTCGCCCCGTGCTGACCGGTCCAGCCGTGTATCGACAGCTGGTGGAGTGGCTGGTGCGCGTGCGCGGCGTCCCCCTGGACACCAAGGATGCCGAGTCGGGGATGACCGCCCTGCAGAGGGCCGTGTTCTACGGACAGCTGGGAACCGTGCGCACGCTGCTCTCGGTGAGGATGGCTCGCAGACACTGCTGTATAGATGAAATTACGCAAAAAATGAATAAATAATGGTACTTGTACTCGCGAAATCGGTTTGGTGTTCATTCGATTCGTAAGAAGTTATCGCGGAACTATGTACATTAGTACGAGTAGGTCCGTGTCGTGTCTCATAATTATATCTACTCTACACGTTTCTCTTTCCGGCCAACCTTCACCAGCTTTCTAGAGCAGATGTTTTGCCGCCCCTTCCCCAGTAAAGTAATCGTGCTCCCCATATACAAAATATCTAGTTGGCGAGGATGACCCCATCACTAGTCGCCATGGCGTACCAGCGATTTACCCTGACTGACTTTTGTTCCGTGCGGCAGCTGGGCGCCAGCGCTCTGACGCAGGACCACGCCGATATGACAACCTACGACGGCGTGCACGCCGACCGTCCGCCGCTGGTCGAGCTAACGCCCAGCGCGCCCTGCGAGCCGTACGTCTGGGGTGCCAACCCGTGGTTCAGTATCGGAGTGGAGCGCATCAAGGCGCGCCCGGTGCCCGAGCCGCTGGATGTGTTCCGCCGTGCCGGTTTCTGGATCAGACAGGTGGGTGCTGCAGAGACGCAACCGGTACCGCCCGGTGATTGAGTTGGTCTGTAGAATCAGTGATGCTATTTGTGATACCTACAGTAGTTTCATGTGATAGTAATATCTGGAGTAATATCTGGTGATATCGTGAGCCCTGGGCACTGGGCAGTGTGGACACAAAGTTTATCGTAAATTTGATGTCATCTTCAAAAATTGCTATATATCTGCGCTTCGAGATTCTGTATTTTGATGAGGCCTTTTAACATCATCATGAGAATCTCATCCAAACCATTCCATCAGACTATGACCCATCTCCCCAATTTCACCATCACACTGCCGGCGTTGTCATGTCTGTCGTACACTTGATGATTCCTCTGACGGACCTTGGTCGCCCCTTTCTATCCGCAGATCGCCATGAGCAAGTTCCACACGGTGTTTGTGACGCAGAGCGGCGAGGTGTTCAGCTGCGGTCACGGTATCGGCGGCAGGCTGGGGCACGGTGACGAGGAATCGGTGATGGCGCCGCGGCCGGTGCGCGCCCTGCGCGGCGAGCGCTGCGTCCAGGCGGCCGTCTCCGCCGAGCACACGGTACTGCTGACGGAAAGTGGAGGTGTGTGGACGTGCGGTCTGAACCACGCCTGTCAGCTGGGCCACTCGCCGCCGCCCGCGCAGCTGACGGCGCCGCGACTCGTCGACTGGAGCCGCGGACGGCGCGACCGTATCACCGGTGTCTGCGCCTCCAGGTGGGCAGAGAGCCGCGGTAACGGGGGAGAGGGTTTAATGTCAAAGGTGGTCGTACCTATAGCGAGGCTGGTGTGCTTCTTTCAAAGTGTTTTCCAAATACTCAGCTGCTGTTATAGTTCTACCTCTGTTTGACACTCAAAAGTATTTTAATGGGCATGGACTGCTGCTAGCCTCAAACGTAATGCCCGTAGGTATGGTTTACCCATTCAGAGTCCGTTGACATGTCGGTGTATGGCCCGATGACAGGTACCACACCGTGCTCTGGAACTCTGAGGCTCTCTACTGCGTGGGGCTGAACGGCGGACAGCTGGGGCAGCACAAGGACGAGAACGCCGACAAGCGGTTCATCCTGCCGCGCAAGGTCACCATGCTGGACCGGTCGCCGGCCTCCTCCGTGTCGGGCGGCGGCGCGCTGCGCCTGACACACGTGACCTGCAGTGACGGCGGTACGGCGGCGGCCACGGCGGCCGGAGACGTACTCCTGCTTTCCGAGTACCGCTGCCGACGGATCGCCTCTCGACTGCTGAACGTGCGCGCCCTGCGGCTGGCCGGCGGCGCGCCCGACCCGGGCTCACTGCCGGCCGGCCGCGCCGCCGAGTCGCGTCCCGAACCGCTCCGACTGCTGGTCATCACAGCGGCCGGCCAGCTGTTGCTCTGGCACCAGCAGTGGCCCACGCTCACCAGGTGAGAATAGAGATCACGGCAGTGGCTCGCCCTCGGCCCTCACTAGAATGAGAACAAGAGAATAGTGGTTCCTTGTACATTTGATGACCATGCTTAAATAGACAGCATTCACAGGATACTCGATGTATATTTCCCATAATCTGAGCTCTGCAGTGCGTCTTGGCCCGTGATCTTTGCGTACTTTCCAGAAAACGTTTTCGTTCTTCAGATACAGTTATTGCCTACTGCTCATAAGTCTCGTTGTCGTTTATCGCCGGTGCGGTGACTCTGCGCCCCCCGCCGCCCCACAGGTGCGTGCCGGACCTGCGGCGCGGGCTGAGTGTGGCGGACGCCGAGCTTGACCGGCACGGGCTCATCCTACTGGCGGAGTCGGGTCAGGCGTTCACGGCCACAGTCACACACGGAAAGGAGGCACCCGCGCCCGCACCCGCGGCGACCGTCACACACAGTAGGGCGGTGCCCGGACACGCGGCAGGCACCGAGCGCGACCGGCACTCGCCGCCCAAACAGGCTGCCAAAGGTGCGTGGACTGGCGACCGCCTTCGCCTACCTCACATCTGTGCATCTTATAAAGCCGGTTTGCATTCGACGTACTAACGTATTGAAAATGCTACATTTGCCTGGATAAATTGTTAATTATTTGTTCACAAAGTAATGCCTATCATTAGAAATGCCTAGGCCTTTTTAAAGTGTGTAAACTTCTTAATTGACACCTTTTATGATCAATGAGTGCCATATGACAGGCGCCTGTGTATGGCAGGTGACAGCCGCCCGAAGCCGGCCGGGAGCGCGGGCGGCGTGCCCACGGCCCGCCTCCACCTGACTCGTCTGCCGCACATCCACCGAGGCGTGAGCGTCACCTGTGACGGCACCGGCGGCAGTGCGGCAGCCGTCCAGTGCGACCCGCGCGCCTTCCTGCTCGAGGTGGGTCCCACGGCCGGCTGAAACGCCTGTCCGCATATGAGAGGCTGTGGTGTTGGTCAGTGGGGGACTGTGACTGCAGTCGTGCTGCGCTTCTTGTCTTTTGAAAATAGTAAGTTACAGGAGGCTAAATTCTAACTGATGGTCTGCATGTGTGGGGCTCAGTCGTGCCCGCTCGTTTTTTTCGCTCCAAAATGCATTTTGGCTTTATCGTTGAATGCTTTGGTAGTCACTAGCCATGCCGGTCCAAGTATGGTGGAAGGCCTATACTCTCCCGGTACCCGACTGACTCCCCCCCCCCGCGCCGCCCTCCCAGGTGCCGCAGGTGTCGCCTTCCCAGCTGCGCCGTGACCTGGGTCGTCTACTCAGCTCTGCCGACGAGACCGACTCCATCCACGATCTGGTGCTACTGGTAAGTCGCGTCGAGTGATGCGTGTGCAGGTTTACTGTTCTGACTGATGTACGTGCCGATTTGGTCGCTGTATTCACTGCACTGGGTAATTACGGAGCGAGCGAAGCGAGCGGAGTCTCATACTGAATTAAGGGAAAATCCTGAGTATGAGCGGCCGGCCGGCCGTGGGGACGCTCTTCAAAAGCTAATATCTTAGGAAAGGGACATCCGATTGACAAGCGGTCTTCTTCACTGAATGTCACTTGGACGTAAAAGTTCTGTGGTGTGATGACCACCATGCGTTCTTGCCAACCACCGCACGTGGCGCGTGGTAAAGTTGGACATTTTTTAAGAACCCCAAAATTGCAACCTCAATAACGGCACAACGGTTGGGCCGATTGAATTGAAACTCGGTACACAGTTAGGTCTCCATCAGATAATTCATCTGCATGTGTTAAGGTTGGGGTGCTACTGCACGTGCGCACGTGCAGGGGGCGCTCCTAGATCTCGAGAACGGCTGGGCCGATTGCGCTCAAATTTGGTACACGGTTGGGGACCAGTTAGTAGGGTGCCGTGCAAAAGTCAGTTTGGACCCCGTTTGCACGTGCAGAATGCCGCTTCCAGATCTCAGGAACGGCTGGGCCGATTGCGTCCAAATTTGGCACACCGCTAGCGGCCGGTTAGAAGGGTGCTTTGCACAAGCCCGTTGGAAGTACCCTCTCGCCCTTGCGCACGTGCAGGGCTCACTATCTTGCTCGCTCGTTCTTCGCCCAAAAGGCGTTTTACTGGTAGTAGTGCACAGACACGCTCAGACTCAACAACACTCAACGATCTCTGGCCGGAGACTGCCCGCTCGACCCTTCTCGGACGGGGGCCGGCTACTGCATTGCCTGCCGTATCGGCCAGCAGCCAGCACAATACGCACATGCCCGCCCCCTCTCCCCAATCGCGTAATTATTCTAATAAGATTGCGCCATTGTTGACATAAGTTGCATTACATTGCCTCGATGAGGCGCTGCGGGCGGCATCGGCGTCGTTGTGCCATGCGAAGCGCTGGGTGCGGCGGTCTCGGAGCACTGATGGGACATCCGGGGTGGTTGACGATTGGCATTTGGCTCTAGGTTGCCAGCCAGCAGTCAGCACAGTCCGCACATGAATCATCGTAATGACGTCAACGGCATGGTGAACGTGTTTATTATCATAATCATAGAGCGTACACCAAATGAAGCAGCCAAATACGTTCAGGTCAAGCATCCTTCAAAAACGAACGTGAGGGGAAGAACAAAATTCAGGTTGAGGCATGCGTCGCTGGTTCAGGACGACTTACTTAGACAGGGTACCTTATTGACTTGGATTATTATGGCGCGTAATTCTATCGAGAAAGGGACTGGGGATGAACTTGAGTACGATGGCTTGAGAAAGTTACATCATTGAAAGTTAAAAATGTGCTGACTATTACTGCCTAAAAAAATGACGCACGACTCTAGTTTTATAGATATGCAAGTTCAGTCCAACCACCTCGCCACGGTGAAATGTATCACACCTTTACAAATAATCACAGAAACACGATATGACGTACCCCAATGGTGCTGGCGCTTAGAGAAACACATGCATGCATTAACAGCCAATAAAACACCAAATCACTCAGCGGTAAGATCTTGAAGGAGTGTCTATGTTATGAGTCTTGTATGCAAGGCGCACTTTTTCGTCGTCATGTGTACAAGCTAACAACAAGGTTCCCGTAGGCAAGCTAACTTAGCTGACATACCAGCCACTGCCATCACTATCCAGGGGCGCACCATCCATCCCCCTGTCAGTCGGCTGTCAGTGCCTAGTCACGCAGCTGGCACAGTGGCAGCAGCCGCGAGCGGCAGCTCTCGTCGTTCCAGGCGCCGAAGTCGGTGGTGGCAGCCACCATCTCCAGGCAATCCTCTCCGATGGGGTCCACGCCTCTGTAATCGTCGGGCTGGGTGGCCGCCCACCGGTGGCCGTGCAGAAGCCCGAGCGGGGTGCCGTCCTCCGCTTCGAACCGGCCCTCGGAGTGCCGGTCGGTCACTCCCAGCCAGACGCGCCGGCCGCCCGACAGGCCGGCCGCGCACAGGTTCTCGGCCGCAGTGCGCGGCACGGCCAGTGTCGAGTTGAGTTCTTCACAGCGCCGCTCGGCGGCCTCATAGTCGAGCGATACCAGCTGTAGGGAGTAACAGCGGCCGGCGCAGGCGGTGAACTGCTCCGGGCACTTGGCCACGCACCGGGCTCCGTCGGACGACTGAGGACGCAGGCAAAGGGCCCAAAATGTCACTGACGTAGTTTTCCATCAATTTGGTTGCATTTTACGCCGAAACGGTTTTATAAAGCAACTGCGGATGCTGCCATATGATGATATTGACTATGATTTAAGTAGTGAATGCGGTATAATACAGTCCAAAACAAACGAAAGCCTACAAATGGCGCATAATACACCATTAAATCCCAACAAAGCCGCCCACTTCCAATGTAGTTTCTTCGTAGTTTCTTCGTAAAATATACCTTGATGTAAACTACTACCATTGATGATCCCATCCACGCTACTACCAAGCTTTATGAAATCGACTGCTGGTCACACTAGGCTGTCGCTAATTGCGGCACCATGCGACACGCAACATTTTCTACCGAGTCCTAGGGATTGGATGGATGGGATGCTTTAATTGTGTTTCTAATGTTTTGTTAAAAATAATATGCCTGAAATATATTGAGCACTGGCATGTTCAACATTGTTACGTGGAAAAAATGAACGAGCTTTGTATGAAAATGTTCAGACAGAATTTTGAAGCCACCTCTCTGATATTCCCTCGGCCGTCTCACACTATCAGCCGTGCTGGGTACACACCTGCTTCTCTGGAACGCAGTGTTTCCTGACGGCGTCGCTGACTGCCGTGTGGATGGCGTCCTTCAGGCTGTCTGTCTTGCCGAGGTCCCTGGCGGCCGCGTGCGGCCAGAGAAGAGCCGCCAGGACCAGCAGGGGTAGTGCTGACCTCGCGGCGGTGAGGGTGACGGCGAGCTGCATCCTGGTCGACTGACAGGGCCCGAACAGCTCTGTTGGCGTTGGTTCTGGTCCGTCGGCAGTAGTACCTTTCACAGCTGCGAGCTGCCGTGTGCGACTGAGCGACTGCACCGGTGGCCGGTCGGCCTTTCCGCCCGGGGCCGAGCCCCGTCTCTGTACGGCCGTGCTATGTTTACCAGAGATCCCGGCGCGCCGGTGGCGCAGTGGGATGTCCCGCTCTGTGACGTATGCAGTACGGCCGACTCCGACAATGTCGTGGTTACTGCGCCGACTGGCTGCCAGGGGCGCTGGGCCCGCCCCACATGCAATAGTGGTGCCAGCTGTGTTTTGGTAGGAATTCTAATATCGGTGGCGATACATACCAAAGTCGAGAGAGAACACGGCACCCGGTGCCGTTCCCTACCCCCGTTCCACCATATGTGGGTGGATTTTGGCACCCATGCACCCACAATGTTCCAGCCGTTCATTGCCCATGAACCCACTCATGCATCATGGTAATGCCTCAATGCCATCGTAATGCCAACGACATAGACACCGTGTTTATTTCCTCTACCATAGAGCGTGTATCAAATGAAGCAGCCAAATACCCACGTTCAGGTGGAGCATCCTTTGTAAACAAAAACGAGAGTGAAGAAGTGCAAAATTCAGATTTATATGTTTCTCGCTGATTCAGGGCGACTAAAGGCATGGCAACTATAGGTACTTACCTTGGTCTTTATTATTATGGTGCATAATTCAATCGAGTAAGCAACTGGGGTGAACTTCTATAAGTACTATAAGTGTAACTACAATTGTATAAGTGTGAGTGAACTATAAATGTACCAATCGTATGCACGGGACCATGTCACGTCTGTACAGAACTGGTATCGTGAACAGTGCTGATCCGTGGCTGCAACCAGTCGTGTGTCGCTGGGGCGCCTCACCCAACACAGTCTGGTGGTGGCTGGGCGCACTGTCCAGCACCGGGCACCCTCTCCGTCGGCACCTAGTCGCGCAGCTGGCACAGCGCCGCCAGCCGCGAGCGGCAGCTCTCGTCGTTCCAGGCGCCGAAGTTTGCATTGGCGGCCACTATCTCTAGGCAATCCTCGCCTGCGGGGTCGATGCCGCGGTAATTGTCCGGCTGTCCGGGCGCCCACCGAAAGCCGTGCAGCTGACGGAGCGGGGTGCCGTCGTATGCCTGGAAATGGCCCTTACGGCGCCGGGCGGTCACTCCCAGCCATATGCGCCGGCCGCCCGACAGGCCGGCTGCGCACAGGTTCTCCGTCGCAGTGCGCGGCACGGCCAGTGCTGAGTTAAGCCTCGCACAGCGCCGCTCGGCGGCCTCATAGTCGAGCGATACTTGCTGGAGGGAGTAACAGCGGCCGGCGCAGGCGGTGAACTGCTCCGGGCACGTGACCGCGCACTGGGCTCCGTCGGTCGACTGAGGATGGAGACGGTGCGTCACACTGGGCCAGAGGGGAGCAGGTCACACTGGGGCAGTGGGTCAGAGGACAGAGCAATCATGCCACACTAGGGAATCGACTGTCGCTAGCTGCTGGACTATTCGACACGCAACATGTTCTACTGTGTCTGAGTGAGTGGAAAGATGGCATACTTCAATAATGCTTCTAAGGTTATGAGATTCAAAAAAAAATAAAAAAATCACTGGTATGTTGAACATTATTAGGTAGATGAAAATGAACGTACTCGTTGCGGAAATAATTGGGATTTGGGACAGACTTCAGGCCACTTCTCACGAAGCTCCTTCGGCCGTCTCACACCGTACGAGTACCTATCGGTCGTGCTTAGTACAATAGGAGGTACACACCAGCTCCTTTGTTGCGCAGTGCTCCTTGACGGCCTCGCTGACCGCCGTGTGGATAGCGTCCCTCAGATTGGCCGGCTTGCCGGGGTCCCTGGCGGCCGCGTGCGGCCAGAGAAGAGCCGCCAGGACCAGCAGGGGTAGTGCTGACCTCGCGGCGGTGAGGGTGCCGGCGAGCTGCATCCTGGCCGACTGACAGGGCCCGAACAGCTCGGTCGGCTGCGGTCTTCACGCCTAACACTGCTCTGGACTGAGCCTATATTCTTGATTGCTCTGGACTGAGCTTATATACTCTGGACTGAATCGTGCCGAGCGGCGCCGTAGTGTACGGCCGTGATTTGTTTACCGTATAGTGCGGTAAACATAACACGTGTGCGGTGAGATCCGGGTGCGGCGGTGGTGCAGCAGAGGATGTCCGGCTCTGTGACGGCAGCTGGGACGGCAGACCCCGACACTGGTACGGTCACTGCTCGCTCGTTTACCACGGGCGCTGGGCCTGGAACATTTGACACCGCCGACTGACTGGCCGTTCCAGCTGTACCTCCGACTACAGGGGACTCTATATCAACGGACCGTCCTCCTAACCTTGGTGGCTGTGCTCCGCAGCCGACCGTCCCTTGGCCACTGCAACTCTCCGCTTGAAACCACAGTATCTATAAGAGGGCGGCGCAGTGCTCCCGCAAACCGAAAAGTGACGCCTAATCTCTTTCGGATTGGCTGTACGAGCATTATGTCGGTACATGTGACCTCTGGCACGAATTGCTGATACGCGGTGGCCACTCGACGAGCCGATGGAACAACTCAGTTTGAAACGATATGTTTCACTAGCACGGGATGTTTATAACTTTTGTATTTTCCCGTGTCTTATTGCTATTTTAAATGAGAAAATGAACCAAATGAATAAAAAAGTAGAGGTAGATGAATAAAGATTATGCTCTAACAGCGTGGTCTTCCGAACAGGCGGGCCACGAACGTTTTCCGTGTCACAAGTTCATCCTGGCGAGCGGCTCGAGCTACTTCAGCCAGCAGTTTGCCGGTGTCGAGTCCGGTGACGTGACCACCCACCGAGTGGATGGGGTGCCAGCGGCCGCGCTGCGCCAGGTGCTCCAGTTCCTGTACATGGGAACCTGCGACCTGATGCGGCCCGGACCCACCGACTTCAGGTACGGACGGAGAGGAGCAGCGGCAGGGGGAAGGGGGACCTGCGACCTGATGCGGCCCGGGCCCACTGACTTCCGATACGGACGGACGGGCGGCAGCAGGAGGGAACGGGGGGGGGGGGGAGAACCTGCGGCCTGATGCGGTCCCATCCATCCCCGACTTCAGGCACAGCCGGCAGTGATGCTTATTTTACAATGACTGACTGTTGCCTGTATCTTATGTATGTCTGTAGGCCCGTATGAATATAACAGTATGTCAGCGACGAATGCCACCTCTGTTGTGTTAGTCTCAGCTTGTCGGGAGTGTTCTGAGTTCTGACGCTGTGCTGCCCGTCAGACTGGAGCCGACTGACCCGGGCACGGGGCCGGGGTCACGACCTCAGCCGCAGCACAAGTCGGACAAGAAGGCGGCCGGGAAGGCGCGGCCGCCCCAGCCGCTGCAGGTGGTCCGGGAGGCGGCTCGGCGACTGGGGGTGCCGGCGATGCTGACCAAACTGGACGGTATGTGGGAGTGGGAGCCAAACTCAAGGGTACGTGAGACTATAAACCAAATTCAAGGGGTTTTGGTTCAACATGAAGCCGTAACGACTTCATATGACAAATCTGTGAAGAATCACTCTCTGTATCACTCTCGGTCTGGCGTTCTTACGCTGTGGGACGGAAGGATGCCACCCCTCCCCGTTCTCTCTCACTCTAACCCTGGCCTCCTCTCCCTCAGGGGTCCGTCTGACGGCCGGTCGGATCGAGCTGGCCCGCGGAGCCGACATCAGCCCGGCGCCGCTGCGGCTCGACCCGGCCGCTCCGCCCGGCCTCAGCGATGTGTCCGTGGTGGGCACGGATGGCGCCGCCGTCCTCTGTCACAAGTGCGTACTGGCCGCACGGCTCGAGTACTTCAACATGATGCTGTCCAGCACCTGGGCCGAGGTGAGGGTGCAGCGGCGGCATTCGCAACGCGCTCTTTAGATGTCATTTTGTGATTGTCATATAGAGTAGTCACAGGAGATGATGCATTTTTTCGAAAACTAATTCATCAGTTGGCTATTCAAGGTAATACAAAATGTCACAGACCATCAAACAATTATAGTCTGTTCCATATCAAGCTTGCAGTCGGAGTTTCTTCGGCAGATCGCTCCTCCGCTCAAGAAGTTGCGTCTTAACCCTCGCCGGACCTATTGGTTTTCTACATACGCGCCGGCCCAGGGGGGGGGGGGCGGGTACGACCCCCCCCCCCTCGCCGTTTCGCCCCTGGTGGAGCTAGCGCGTCGCGGAAAAAACGAGCGTGTGCGCCGTTACGAGACGCAGAGATTGGTACCCGATTTTAAGGTCCTAGGTCAACCGGTGACCTCTGAGGTCAGGTCAAGTGCCCCAAGGTACGGTTCAGTTTTTGGTGAATAACTTCGCAAAAAACGGCCGCAGAGCGCCGATTTTGGCAGCATCGTGTTCGCCTTGCCCAGGCGCGTCGAATGATATACTTCTTGTCCGGGTCAGGTCAACTTGGGGTGTTGACCTCAGGTCAAGGTCAGGTCAGCACCCCAAGGTCACGAAGTTGGTCGAAAGAGGTCATGTCGCATATCATTCGATTCGGCAGGCCTTCCTGAGTCCATTGGTGGCTTTCCCGACTCGCTAGCTCAATTTGATCAAGAGTTATTGACGAAAAACTAATATGACCCTGATTACGTCATAAATGACGTCACGCAAGGTCAACATTGCAAAAGTGACGCATCTAACCTTGCAAGGAGTGCATCAAATCACGATTCTGTGTGCTTGAGATAGTTGGAGATCGTTCCCGGCGCCAGAATAGTAGTTTTCATTTTTCCCCATTGACTTATAATGGTGAGGTCACGAAAATGACCTGACCTCATATGACCTTTAGGAAAAATCCGAGATATGCAAGTTGTGGGACTCATAATGGATACTAGATCCTGCAAGTTTCATTTCCCTGTGACATCTCCTCTGGCAGTGAGGGCGTTGCGAAGTTGCGACATCTGAAGACCGTGCAGAGGTTCACTTATGACGTCATAGGTCAGTGACCTGACCTGACCCAAAAATGCGGTTGGTGTCAAAAGATGCGGCTTGGATCAAAGGTCAGGTATGCCAAGTTTCAGCTCTCTATCAGTATCGCCAGCGTGTTCGGAGCTATCGCGAAAAAACCTTATGGGGGGGGGGGGGGGCGGCACCCGCTCCCCCCCCTCGCCGCCCCCCCCCCCTCGGCCGGCGAGGGTTAAAGGGACCCTCCCACCTTTAAAAAAAGTTTATGAATTGGCATGAAAGTGATGTCGCTCGGTTCAGAAAGAGCGAAAACGAATATCTACCAAATTTCACCGAAAAATATTCACCGGTTTTCAAGATATTAGACTTTTACTTTTGTTTACTTTTTGGGATTTCCGCTGTTCCTAGCGACTTTATTTAAAAGTGCGGCATTTGTTGCGCGCAACGCAGCATATACCACCGCGTGCTACAAAACGTTTTAGTCAAACATTTAACGGACGTTCGAAAGCCTGATGACGTCATCAGATTTAAGTGCCAATACCAATACATTGTGGCACTTATTTGCACAGATGTCAAAATCAAACTCAAATTTCTTTGCGATGAAGTAATTGCTGGAGAAACGGTTTTCACGGCACTGATTTTCAAAGAACGTCCATCAAGATGGCTATCTCAACTCAAATCTAATGTTAAGGTGGGACAGTCCCTTTAAAATGTAAGAGCTGTATATACAGAAATCACGCACTGCTTTCAGTAGGGCACTTCGGCTGCAAGCTTGAAACGGAACAGAGTATAGCGCCGAATAGTCAGTAACTTTGAGTGATCAATGAATCATTGTTCAACTATCCTTGTGTCTGCCCGGGTCTGTTGGAGAGAGTAGGCCGGATCAGTTCCGCTGGCCATCCGCTGATCATCTCTCCCCGTCTGTCGTCTGTTTGCCCTTTCACAAGTGTTGGAACAGACCCCTGGATCACTGTCTCTGACCATCTCCCATTATGTCCCTCTCCCATACTCTCTCCTGTGTCTCACAGAGCCGGTCGTCCGAGTCAGTCCGTCTGTGTGTTCCCGGCCCGGTGCTGGCGGTCTGCTGACTGTCTCTCCCCCCTCGTGTGTCTCTCAGAGCCGATCGTCGAAGCCAGTCCGTCTGTCTATCCCCGGCCTGGTTATAGCCATCTGCTGACTATCTCTCTCCCCCCGTGTGTGTCTCTCAGAGTCGGTCGTCCGAGCCAGTCCGTCTGTCGGTCCCCGGCGCGGTACTGGCCATCCTGCTGCGCTACTGCTACACGGACGAGGCTCTGCTCCAGCTGGGAGATTCTGAACAGCTGCAGACTGATGACCTAGAGCTGCTCTGTGGCCTGTTGGCCGCTGCCGACCACATGCTGGCCGACCGGCTCAAACACATCTGCGAGGTGAGGCGGCGGCCGCAGTGGTATCAAGCCGAGGCACAGATCCGCTGAAAGGCAATGAATATCGGCGCTGGGATTGGCATTGCTTGCTACACATTATACTCATGCAACTTGTGCTTACAACTAAATATACCCCAGCCGGCCATTGTGTTGCCTAACGTTTAAGTAGCAATGCTACCACTGGTCATGCCGCTGTACCGTTCAGTCCCCTGCCCAACCGCCTGAAGCGACTGCCTTCCCGTGGACCAACTGTTGCCGCCTGGTCAACTCTTCGATAACAGGAAAAACGGCTGCTCCTGTCCAGATGGCCACTGGCTGGACCAACTGCCACTCTCTACCCAACAGGCTTTATCAACTGTTGTCCCCCTATCCAGCTGCCCACTGCCCGGACTGCCACTGTCCCCTGCCCACTGTCCGTACTGCCACTGTCCCCTGCCCACTGTCCGTACTGCCACTGTCCCCTGTCCACTGACCGTACTGCCACTGTCCCCCTGCCCACTGTCCGTACTGCCACTGTCCCCCTGTCCACTGACCGTACTGCCACTGTCCCCTGTCCACTGCCCGTACTGCCACTGTCCCCTGCCCACTGTCCGTACTGCCACTGTCCCCCTGTCCACTGATTGTACTGCCACTGTCCCCTGTCCACTGACCGTACTGCCACTGTCCCCTGTCCACTGCCCGGACTGCCACTGTCCCCTGTCCACTGACCGTACTGCCACTGTCCCACCGTCCACTGACCTTACTGCCATTGCCCCCTCCCCCCTGTCCACTGTCCGTACTGCCACTGTCCCCCTGTCCACTTGTCCACTGACCGCGCCGTTTCTTTTCGCCGCAGGTGGCGCTGTCCCGGCAGCTGACTCTGAAGAACGCCGTGGAAATACTCGAGTTCAGCTCGCTATACGGCGCCGAGCAGCTGCAGGCAGCCTGCAGTCAGTTCATCTGTCTGAACCTGGCCGCCCTCATGGAAAACAGGTAGGTAGGGGAGAAGAGGAGCTGCCTGAGGAGTGCACCAGGGAGACACCAGCTGCGACTCAGAAAACGCTTAGCTGTCAAAACAGTGAGACGTCACATCTGGGAGCTAGAGCCATTGACGACTGAAATAGCGGCCCGTGCCGTTTTCACGGTTTCACGGGCCGGCCAGGCGGCCAACCCTCAAAAGTCAAGGGCTCTCAAACCAGGGAGCGATGGCGATACTTTCTACACACGGTACTTTCAAGAGAGACTATACAGAGGAACACCGATCACATCACCACCGTTCCGTCATTTTAATCCTCAGGACAGTCAAACTCTTCTCCTCCACGCCTCAAACCCCCTGAAGCGGACTGGACGGTCACCTTAATCCGACTTGGGTAGCCCCATCCCAGGAGCAGATCCATGGCCGGGTGCGGTGACGGTCAGGGGGCTGGGTGGTCTGTCCACCTGGATAGGCTCAGCCCCGGTGGCGAACCAGGGCGGACGCCTAGACTAATGTCTCCCCCTTATTCGTATTATCATCCCGGCTTTGAAAGGTCTTGTCAGACCGAAGGGGCGTAACCCTACAAAACGAAAAAAGACGTATCATGCTCAGGAGTTTCGTTAAATGTGTTTACTGTATTTTTGAGCGTGTTAGTCATTTAACGACCGAAAAGTGATGCCCTTCTACATATAGGTACAATGTATATAGTATATAGGTACAATGAAGACATACCTAAATGTCATATTCTGCCCCGAAGAAATGCGATGTCTTACCTTAGCAAAAAATAATAATGACCCGGAAATAGCCTAGGGTGTCGTCCTTTGCTCAATGAAATGGTCGATGTGGTATTCATTTTCAGCAGCTCTGGTTACCAGCTGGTTAGGATCCGGAGGTTAAGGCGCAATGTATGACAAAAGCATCTTAGTTAATGTAACACCGCTTCAGCTCGTAACACCGATGTTTGAAATAAATAACTCGAGGCTTACTTACACAATAACTGCAAACTTTTGTAGAACGATTTAGTCGCCGCTGAGTTTCCGTGGCTGCCAACTTTGAGGCTATGAATTTAGCATCAGCGATAAGCTATGACGTCATTTCATCCGGAATTCAGCAGCCGACGTGTAGAAACACGTGCATTGGAAAACACGTAGAGTGGCGTCGTCGGTTAGAAGCAGGGTTATGTCAGCCAGTCGTACAATGTATAGGTTAGTAACGCCGAGGAGACTCCCGTGCGGAATTCGCGCAAATTGCGCGAATTGTGCAATTGTGTAATGACGAGGTGTCTTGAGTTTTTTCTTCAGAATCTTGACTTTTGTAATGACAGTATGACTGTATTGAAAAATTAGGTGCAGTGGAACTGCTGAAACATTCTACACATACTCTCTGACTTGCATATGTCGGCTGTTATGTCATGATGTTTAGGTACAATGTCCATTATGCATTATTTGGTTAGTTTGAGATGTTTCAAAACCATAACTTTTATCTTAGTTTAGAGTATGCAATGGTATGCTATCAAAAAGCTTTAGCACCATTTGCTCAACTAATTTCACGCGTTCTGGATAACTACTTGTTTTAACAGATATCGATCGGAGTATGTAGGTATGTACCTACGTCCTAAGTATAGGGCTGCGGAGTCGGAGTCGCAGTCGGAGTCGGAGTTAACGCTGCATAGCTCAACATCATGCACTGCACCGGTTTGATTCTGATTGACGATACTGCGCTCGAAATTAGATTTTGTCGAAAAAGGCCATCTTGCTGTTTTGGACGATTTTTTTCAGCGAAAAAAGCTGAAGACGGCGAATTCCCCAGAACTTGCTTTTTAATTATGCATGTTATTTTTAATGCATATTTGCAACGCAAAGCCTTGTGAAGCACAAAGGATCGTTTCAGGCAAGATAAAAACATCTCCATTATGAACTTAATATCATGATATTGTTTTTAATTGAACCGTCCGGAGTCGGAGTTGGAGTCGGAGTCGGAGTCGGAGTCGATTTTTGAAGCCGGGGTCGGAGTCGGAGTCGGAGTCACCCCAAAATCCATCGACTCCGCAGCCCTGCCTAAGTACACTGAACCTCCATCACCATAGGAATACATACTACATAGGTACTTCAGCAACTTGCAAATGAGCCTTTCCCAAGAACGGTACATTCAACACATAGCGCACAATAAGTGTAATATACAAGGAACTCTGCATATTGTATTTTAACTTTAAATGGCACATTATTTTCATGTCAGTCGCCTGACTATTGATTCCACCTGACTCGTGTTGGGGGTATTGCGGACCGGCCACGTGACTGTGGTGTGGTGCCTCACCTCCATTCGCGGTGCGTGCGGGCCCGGATTTTCGCGGTGCCTTCGCTACTTGGCCCGTTGCGTGCCGGTAATGGCCCGCGAGCACCGCGAGGCTGGGCGCTGCGTGTATAATGTTGTATGAAGGCTAGGGTCTCTGCGGCATCAACTTGGACAAGGGACATATCGCATACACACGTCTACAGTACAAATGTAACGACTGGTCACATTAAGTCCACATCGCATGGCAACAAATGGATTTTGGTTATAATAACTTTTGAAATGATGTCCCATACATTAGCAGCGGCATTACCACATACCACATACTCACTGCATGTGTATTGGTCATTGTGTGCTGTGGGTCGTGACATTGACTGCTGCACCGGTCGCGACTGCCTTCCTGCCACAGACGGCCCCACTCGGCGTTACCCATTGAGCCGATCACCAGTGCGCCATAGCCGCCTCAATGGGCCATCCGACGTGCGGCCAGGGCGGTCAGGGCGGCGGCGGTCCCTCGTGACAGGGACACATTGCCGACGGACCGGGGACAGGGCTTCGCCGGCCACCGGGTCTAAGCCGAACCGACCATTAAGCTCAACACATAACCGCCCATGGGGCTCGAGCTAACAAATAGCTTGCTGAGGTCCAACACATTGCCGCCCACCGGGTCTGGGCCATCAAATAGCATGCCGAGGCCCAACACATAGCCGCCCATCGGGTCTGGGCTGTCAAATAGTCTGCCGGGGCCCAACACACAGCCGCCCACTGAGCCCTAGCGGACAAACGGCCTACCGGGGCCCAGGACATTGCCGACTTGCCGGGAAGGGACGAAGCCGCCCACCGGGCCCGAGCCAACTGTCTACCGAGGCCCAACACATTTCCGCCTACTAGGCTTGACCCGAACCGACAAATAATTGTGACTGGGGCCCAACATATAGCCGCCCATCGAGCTAGAGCTAGCAAATAGCGTTCTGTGACCCGTCAGATAGGCGACCCCCGGACCTGGCAAATGGTCTCATGAGGCCCAATACATAGCGGGCTAGTGGGCCCGGCTACAGACATATAGCCATGATCTAGCCGGCTTCATTTAAACATCTATCCGGCTTCACTAACTATGCAGTAACTGACAAACCAGGCACCACATATAGGCGACCTACGGGGTAGAACATTACCACCCAATGTATGTACATACATAACAAGCCCACCGGGCGCAACACGCAGACGGTTTCCCCGTCCGCAGACCCAGTTTCCGGTCTCCGGCGCAACCGGCTTACTGGTACTATTCAGGTTATGCATGTTGATTTGAATATCCAGGCACCAGATTATAGTGCATGTCCAATGTTGTACAGTGTATGTACGTATTTACGCCGCATGGTCGCTCCGCTGGTAATTGCCGTCAAACGTTCCGCTCCCATAGCGTTTTATAGCCACCTGCAGATCGCAGCTCCGGGCGTCGGTGGGTAACTGCCGGCGCCTGTATATCACTGTTATTGTTATTGCTGGCGCAAGTGGTGTTTCTCCCAGGCTAGGGCGATGATTGATTGTTTTCAGCATGGAGAGTCGACGTGGCGCCGGTGGCCGGCATTGGAGGGAGGGAGGGGAGGGACTTTTCGACCGACTGACTGGGCGGAGAGGGGAGGGTTGGACACTTAGCCGGCCGACAGGGCGATGAAATCACACGCGGGCTTCCTATCTGTTCTGGCAAACCGATGATGAGTTCTCACAGTTCCGTATCCCCGAGCGGATATGCCGGGCGCCCTGGCCGCTCGCCCGATTCGTTGACAGTGAGTCAGTCCACGAGTTTTAACCGTCTCCGTTTGCCGCACTGGACAGGACGCTGGAGCAGGCGTCCGACGAGGTGCTGGAGCAGCTGGGCCGCTACTACCGCCGGGAGAACCCGGCCGTGTCACGCCGCCGGCTGACACCCGCAGACGGGCCGCCCGGCAAAGAACTGATCGCCGCCGTGCACCGCGCGTATCCCGTGTCTCCGGACGACCCGGCGCCGGAGCCCGCGGAAGGTAGGGACTGGATTGGACAGTGGACCAGACCTGACCTGACCTGACCCGAACTGATCCGACCTGACCCGACCCGGTGTCAACGGACAACCCGGCGCCGGAGCCCGCGGAAGGTAGGGACATGACCTGATCTGCTCCAACCTGCTGTCACTGGATGACCCGGCGTCGGAGCCCGCGGAAGGTAGGGAGTGGAGACCATGACCTGACCTGACCTGATCCGACCCGGTGTCACCAGACAAACCGGCGCCGGAGCCCGCGGAAGGTGCAGAAATGACCTGACCTGACCTGAACCAACCTGACTTTACCTTATGACCTTGGTCCGTATTCCTGATAACAATTGCACTGTTTTCGAATTTGCGTCTACTCTTGAAGGTTTCTTCTTTTGAAACACTTTTTTTACTAGTGCGACGTTATGGGCGCAAAATGACCTTTGCAGTCGGCGCGCCCTACAGCCCCAATAAACAAATAAACACTATTGTCCAGACGCATTAAGAGACAGTTATATTGTGACTGGTCGGTAATTTTTCCATCCCGTTTACTTTCCTTTCATTTCGATCATCTGCACCGGGAAACATAGTCAGATACCCAAGGGACATTTGTGAATTCATCATGGGGGGCCCGCGCGAGTTCTTCAATTAGCCGCTCAGTTCTAGGGCTGGGTAGGAGTCCAGTTGTGTGTCCTTCCCAAGCGCTAACTGCAGTCGCGCTCTGTCCCTGAAATATGAACCAGCGCTCTGTCCTAACCGCAGGCTGTTTGAAATAGACAAACACTATTCTTTAGTACAGTTGTCCCCACGATTAACAGTCATATTGGGTCATCTCAAATCTCAATAATTCAGTACCTATTGTGGACGCAATTAAATAGTTACGTGCAAGACTGGAACAGCTACCGATGCTGCAAGCACCTGATGACCTGATAAAGCGGTATGAGGTCATGGGCCGCCCACGGCCTGGCGAATAGGTGTGTCGTGTCAGCGGAGTGGCACAATGGCGTGCATGTAAGAAATGCTCGCACTTTGCCGGACTTAAGTTCAACGTAATGAAGCTCGGCCTTGCGCCCGTAACTCCCTGAGGCGCGCTCGTAGCTCGTTTACCCAGCGCTGCCAGGCGACGAAGGCGTGTGAATTCGCCCGCCTGCCGCCCCCTGTGTGTCCCTGTGTGTGTCTGCTGTGTGTGTGTGTGTGTATGTGTGTACCAATGACGGCCACGGACGACGCCCTCCGCTGGGGCCGCCGAGTTAATGCATCGCGTGCGGCGGGAACCTGGACCCGAGGCTCCCCTGTGTAGGCCGCCGAAATGCCAGCGAATGTTAAGCTGCATGACATCATATGCGCGGTAGGTATCGTCTTTATATGGGGCGACTCTGATGCCTTTTCATTTACTTTTTCTGAATGGCTCATGCGCTACCTATATGCCAGTTATTGTCAAACGATTGATGGCATCTGATAATCTCAGTTTGCCTTTACCCTTTGGTGGTAAGTCGACCTATTGTGTAACCTGTTTGTCATCGTGATAATGTGACATGAAGACAGCGCTCCCCAGACCTATCGGCTTTCTACATGCCGATTCTATCAACCCTAGAGGTTGGTGCAATTCCGTCGCAGTTATGAATTAAGCTAAAGCATTGAAAAAGCGAGGGCGTTGGGCGTCACCGGACGAATTAAATAAAAGTGTGAAGACCACAGGTCTGTCAGTGACCTCAGATATCAGGTCAATGACTCCCTTAAAAAGGGGGCAGTCGTGGGGTACAGTTCCGGTGATCGTGCGGAAAAGGTGCATTATGACATATATTGAAAAATAAGCATTGAAACCCTCAATGTTGAGAGAGGTTAGGGATAAAAAACGCATCCGTCATCAGTGTGCTTGCATCAAAGCAAACTCATCTCTCTGAGGTTTGCGACAGCTTGATGTCTATACCTAACCGAAGCTAAAATGATGTCTATACCTAACCGAAGCTAAAATGATGTCTATACCTAACCGAAGCTAAAACTAAAAAGGAACATATTTCCAAGCACACTCGAACAGGAACCTGAATAAAGTTGGTGAGTAGAAAGTGAGGATCCCAGCAAGCAAGCTGCGAATGTTGTTACGAACAGCCACAAAGCCAACTTTTCTAGTTTTGGATTAGAGCTATCCTCTGATTGGCGGTCATGTTACCCACACATACAGACACGGATAGTCGGTAGCCTGGTGACCGCCGCGGCGCTGCGTGAGTTGGTGATGTGCCGCCCCTCAATATTGAGCCCCCGTATACACACGGAGGTCCCCCACACCGTGGCCCGGGGCGCGGTGGCGCCTCTCTGTATAATCGTACATGACACCGCTGGTCGGCGCCATTGGCTGAGCCGAATTGCGAGTAATGTCGGGCCGTGCCGTGCCTGACAGGGATTTGTTAGCGGACTGCGAGTCGAATAGACATAGCCGCGCGGTGCGCGGTGCGCTCCCGTGACCCGGGCGACGGTGCAGAGTTATGTCGGACGGCCCAGGTCTATGTTGACATGAAACGCAATACTCAAGTGTGAACCAGCTTGAGCCAGAAACTGATTGGGAGGTGGTTTGACCCTCGTCTTGCTTCGGCATGCCGCCGGCACGCGACGCTCGAAAGTTTGTCACAAGACATTTTAGGAAATACTTACGTCACTTGAAAGGAGTCAGTTAACATAACAATAAAAAAATGAAACGATGTCCAATTAACTGAATCATCAGACTCGTCAGGACTGCTTCATATGTTACTTGATTCACCTCGGCAGCATGCAGTTGGACTTGGACTATAACTTCAAGCACTGTATTTAAAAGTTCTCTGGAACTATATGGCCGTAACTTCTAGTGACGTTGACCTCAACTCGCCATAGTCGACCGAACATGAGCCACTCTGACGTTATTTCCGGCCAACTTATGATGGTTACCACTAAATTTTTCTTTGGACACACGGTGTCCACTGTCCAGTTCCTGCAGCAGAAGTTACTGAACGTTTGATGTCATTGCCCAAGAAGCTTAGAAGATTTTTTCTCAAAAGTAGACAATATCTTCGTCATTGTCACGACGACAATGACGTCATATCGAACGTCATTGTCGAACGTCATATCAATGACGTCATATCGAACGTCATTGTGGTTCTGTTGAACCGTGCTTTGACTTAGACGAAGGTCTCCTTGAAAGGCTGTCCGGTGGCCCTCAGTCTTGGTACTCTTGCAAATTACAGTGTCTATTAGCCGCACGTCACTGACGAGTGCTCAAGTGCTGGAATCATACCATGCTAAGAATCATGCATTGCTTGATTGGTTATGTAACGCCGCAGGCAAGTCACGGACCCAAAATAGCGGCGGTGGGTACCGCTTCTGTGAACACCTGTCGGCCGCGTGCACAGTCTCCCAGCGACCGGCACACCAAACACGGAGCACGGTGGCTCTCGGCGCAGAGCACGAGTATCGAACGTGACCCGCCGGTCCCTGCGCTAACCCACGTGACCCGCCGCCTCTAACCTGTGATAACCAACGTGACTCGCTGCTCCTTCCCCGCGCTAACCCACGTGACCTCAGCTGCTCCTTCCCTGCCCCCTGGCCCTGTTTCACTGAATGACGCCACCTGTCGCTAGTGGTATCGTGGTTATGGATTTAAACATCAACAAACTCCGACGCCCCAACATTGAGAGACGCTCTGTCAACCTGCAACAGTGATCTAGCGACCTTCGGCTTCATAGCTCGCACCTACAGGGGTGCTGACTTACTAAGTTACCTCATAGCCCACTCTCATGCAGGGGTGTTGCTGAGTTCTGTCACTCATTTCGTAAAGCAGTGCTAGGCCTGCTGAGATTCTACACTCAAAGAGCCACGGTACATGCGAACAGGTAAAAGTTTGATTGCTGCTCCCAGAATAGACGTTAACGGCGATATAAGAAATGGGAAAAGCGCCGAGCTATGTCGAAAGTCTGCATGTCGATGCTATAGATGACGTCATTCCTTGGTCAATCCCACAGTCTCCATGGACATAGAGAGGTCACAAATAGGTATAATAGTACATGGAGCTGGCAGTTTTGGGGGTAAATGTAACGAGTAGTGCAAAAGCCACAAAGTCACTGTTTGATTAGGTGACCTGAATACCATTGCACGCATATCCTTTTAGGTCGACCTCATTAATCACGCCACAAAAATAGGACATAGTTAGGGACTCGGGCGGTGCTAGACGCAGTTTACGGGTTACAGCGAACGTCCGCTGTGATGGTCGTCTCTATTTTCGTATTTGTATGTGTCGGTGTGTCTGTGTCTGTCTGTTTTATTGGACTCGATGCCGTGTGACTGATGTGCCCGCTACTGTGTCTGTGTGTGTGACCTATAATGTCTCTTTTACTGAACCAGATGCCGTGTTACTGATGTCCCCGCCACTGCGTCCGTGTCTGTGTGACTGATGTTATTGCCCCTGTGTCTTTCTCCGTCTCTGGACTTGTTGCTGTGTAGCTGATGTGCCCGCCCCTTTGTCTGTGCTACTGTTCTCGATGCCGTGTAAGTCATGCGCCCGCCGCTGTGTCTCCGACTCGCAGAGGAGGTGCGGTCGCGGCCGCCGCCCCGGCGCCGTCCCAGCGGCCGCCGCTCGTCGGGCCCGTCACGCGGCCCCGGCGCCGAGCCGCAGCGACAGCGGGCCGTCTCCAGCTCGTCGGTGATATCCCTAACCGCCTCCGAGGCTGCCAGCGAGGACGGCGACACGCTGCCCGAGCTGAACGGCGCCGACATCCCATCCAGGTGGGCGCGCGTTGACAGCTAGAATAACGCAAACATCTCGCACGTAATTCGCGCACCTCCCGCCCCGACTGGCTGCAGTTGGTTAGGTGCGATGACCTGGATGACTGAGAGGGCTGAGCTGGCTTGGGAAGGGGTGGTCTGACCCTGGTCTGACCTAACAGAGAATTGAGCTTTGAGTTTATTTTACGCGTGATTTCTGTACTACACGTTTACTTTGCGACATTGTGTTTGTAGCGTTCGTCCCTGTCTCGACTGCGCGCTACCTGAGGTTACATTATCTTTTTGTGTGTGGCAGCCCGATGCTCGGCTTCCTCATATGTGCTTGAAGCCGACACTCTGCCGCCCAAGTTAACCCCCAGCTGTGCCTGTGTCGCCGACAGCCCGGTGCCCGAGTTCACCCTGGTAACCCGGAGGCGACACCCGGAGCGCACTGCCGATCAGCCCCCACCTCCGGCCGAAACCGCCGCCGAACAGCGCTACATACCCGGGATGACGCCTCGTCCGCAGCCGGCGCGCGCAGCTCCGCCGGACTCTCCGCGGGAGGACCCGGTATCCCCGCGGGAGAATCCGGGATCCCCGCGAGAGGACCCAGGATCTCCACATAAGGATCCGACCACACCGCCCGAGGCCTTCCCTGCTCTGGGCTGTGAGGTGACCAGGACCGCTGCCGGGCCCAGTCCAGCCTCCGGCGGGTGAGTTCTTGGTGAATAGCAGGTGTCAATAACAGTGTGGTCATGAGACTGTAAATAGGCGTATTTTTCCATGTGACCGCCCAGGCCCTAACCCTCAAAGCGAAGTTATTGCCGATTTTGCCCTCAAAACAAGCACACTGCCGATGTTGGCTGAGACCGAAACCATGTGTTACAGACCTTAAAAAGACGCTTCCTGTGTCGCGACTCAGACTATCTGCGCTATATCTCCCTTCGCTGGGTCTATACTCAGCCCGACCCTGTGTTCCAGTGACCGACCCGCCGAGGGCAGGCGCTCCAGCACCAAGAAGGGTCGCCGCGGCCGGCCTCTGGCCCTGGACGGGTCTCCCATGGCTCCAGCCGCGGCCCCAGTCACTCCAGTCAAGACGGAGACGCCTCGCCGACCCGCCTGGTCTGCCGGCGCCGCCAACAGACCTGCCTGGACTGCCGGAACTACCAACGGCACTGGTGGGTGGCGCAGCGCGATTCACTCATACTCACTAGCTTACTAACTCACTCTATCTTACTCATGCATTGACTTGTTTCTGTTTTTCATACCTCCTTCACCCCACCCCCTCGCTTTCTATCTTTCTCCTCTCTTTTCACTCACCACTTACTGGTTCTTTGTTCGTTTATCCAGTTTGGCCGACAGTTTTCCCCATAATTCTGCTTTTCGGCTCGGCCAGAGTCCATTGAGTTTCGGTGTTAGTGTTTATTGCGTTATTTCATCGTGTGGCGTGCCGTCGTTGGTCGGTTCGGTGTGTTTTGATCCCTGCCGTGTGGCCCGGTGAGGGCTGTTTTGTGTGACGATATCGCTGGAACTCGCCGACATCAGGCGAGCGTGTGCGACCCCTCCACAAGTGACCGCCAGTGGGTCGTCCCAGGAGACCAGTAGGGTAGCCTGGCGCACATGCAATGTTGACCCGACCGTGACAGTCGCAGTGGATATTGAATGGGTGTTAGCCACGGTTATAATTGTTATTGCAAAGCTGAAACTACTTTGTTTGTTTTGCATAGTTGAAACTGATTCTTGTTGATTGTTTATCGTACTACTGCAAGGTGTGGACTGAGTGAGGGACTGATGCACTGATACACTTTTTAAATACACTGATAGGGAAACTCAGGATAACGTACTGCAGCTGTGTGCGTGCCGGATATCGGCCCATCACGAAGTTTCCCATAAAAGTTCCCCTCCCATTTCACCATATCAGTGTGAAAGGACGTGAAGCTGGTTATGACTTCCCTTCTTTGCCTGTCGCAGACTCGTCGGCGGCTGCCTCCCTGGCCGACATAATGGCCGAGCAGCGGAGAGTGTCGGCGGCGACTCGCCCGGAGCCGGCGGTCGCGCCGGTACCGGTACCGGCTCCGGCTCCGGCCGCCCGGCTGCGGCTCCGCTCCAGCGGTGAGGGCGGCGTCTGGGGCGGCGCGCCCGTCTCCCCGTCTGTGGCGTCTCCGCCGCCGCTGGCCACCAGTCCGCCGGAGCCAGCCTCCCTGGATGACATCATCCGTCAGGAGCGACAGCGCATCGAGAGCAGGCAGATCATGCGCGACAAGTCGCTGGCGCTGATCCAGGTGGGCCGGCCGGCGGGAATGTCTCTCGGTGTGTGTTTGGGGAGGGGAGGGGGAGGGTCTCGGTCCGGTGGGTGGGCCCATGTCTGGTAGGTGGTCTGGGGTGCGATAGATGGTCCGTTGGATGGTCCCTTTCTGTCTAGTGGTTTCGATCCGCCGAATGGTCTGCTGGTTTGGTGGCTGATCCGTTTATCGGTAGATTGATATTCCTGGAATGTATAATTGCCTTTGTCGCGGTGGGCGGCCCCCTGGGTCTGCTTGCTTATTCCTGGTCCTGTGGGCGTTCCTTGGTCCCTTTGTGGATGGACGCCGGTATGGCGGTAGCCTGGTGGGTGATCCAATAGGTGGATGGATCTCAATCCTGTGGGTGGGTCCCCGGGTCTGACATATTCGGGTTAAGATAGTTGGTCTAGCCTGTCACCTATAGCCCTCCTACCCTCTTCCCCCTTAACCTTCATCCCTTGTGACGAAAGTCGCTCGACCGGCTCTGCGCTTCTTAAAAAATGTTTTTCGTGACGATCTTATTCATAAGGACCGTGAACGAACACCAGAATCCACAGCACAGCTGGTAACGAGCTAGTGTTTGGCAATTTTATTCACGTCATTGAACCGCGCATACCACAATGCCAAAACTGTTTTTGCTGTATGATGTCCTCGCCATTCCTTTTTTGCGACTCCCACCTCAGCCTAGTCTGCACCGTCAATTATTGAATTTATCATGAACCTCCCAACGAACGTTACTTTATATCAGATATACCTGTAATTGTAAGTCCTTTGTTGTATTTTTTATCACTTTCTGGTATGTAGTAGCCGCTACATGACGGTTACGAAGCACTCATTCGAACAAATGCTGAGTGCATAGCATTTTCTTTTTCTATTTCCCTCCTATTTTCCTTTTCTTCTTTTCCCATGAATTCCTTGGTCGGTTGGACGCACATTTATCACGATGTCTTTGACGCTGGTTGAAGTGCCGAGAGTGTTAAGTTATACCAGGCACTCTGAGTTATGGTACAAGTCATGCAAAAGTGTTTAGCAGTTGAGGTATACCTCCCCCTCCCTGCTGCGTTCGCTCATTCCGCGATGTTATATGACGACGATTAAAACTGCGTCGACTTGGTCGCTACTAGCTCCCATTCCAACTATGCAGGCTGCAGTGAGTGAATTGCCGGTTCTAGACGGGTCGTAGCGGTTGGCCCGGTGCGGTCACGCGATGCCTGCGGCCCTGCGCCCCCCTCTCCCCCCTCCCCCTCTTCGGCCGGGCGTCTTAGTCAAGTGTAGTGCCGTGACGTCCGGTCGCCGACGCTGAAGGTTACACGCACTAGGACTTTCTGCAGTTTAGGTCGGTGGTGTTAGCGGTTAAACAGAGCCCTGAGGTCAAATGCGAGCCGGCAATTCAGTGGAAGAATGCATCAGCGTAAAGAATGCTCTCCCTAAGATGTTTAATGTATATTACGAATCGGTAAACAATGCAAAATAATTGTAACCTACGAAACAGCGTGAAGCTACTGGAATAAAAAGATCAAATTATGTTTCCAGCCATCGCTTTTCTTCATTTGAAATAACACTTTTGACTTACACCAGCTATAGATGCGAACAATTGTCAATATGATACATTTCTCAATTTATAGTTTACGTTATAGAGGTCATGTGCCGTTCCCATTTTGTATGTCCTGAGCATGTAACGTTGCTGTTACGTTTTGTCGTCTATTTTAGAACTTCAGCGCTACTCTTCACAAGTCAAAAGATATTTCTTAACTCATGCACGAAAAAAGTTCATAGATTGTGTTGATAGGTATATTAATCACTCAGTGTCAAAGAGTGACAAAAAAAGATAATTAGGTCGATAAAAAGTTATAGGAACTCTCGTTGGCTGTAATACGTAAAATTATATAGCTAGCGTCCTCTCCCATTTGCGCCCCCATTCTCCTATGCACTAGCGAGTTAGCAATGCCTACAGCGAAATCACTTTGATTTCCCCTTCGGTCGCACTTGGTGGCGGATTTATAGACTTTGTAAAACATTGACGAAACTGTGTCGCTAGGTGCTGCACAGCCCAATGTTAACCATTGGCAACACTGATCCCGCAATCGATAAATGCCCTGAAACATGGATGAGCTGGAAACCATGTTGGTATGGTGTGAGGGTTTCACTTCAAGCGCTCAATTATTTGTTAGAACTGCGCTATTTTTGGTGGAAAGAACTTCCTGCGATTGTGAAAAGCCGACGCTGTGTTTTTTATGTCTTTCGGTTATTGCCTGAACCTTTTACCGACCAGCATCGCTGTCAGTAAGCTCAGGTGTCACCATTTCCCTGATGAGGCTTACGTAATTCAATACCTCAGAAATTGATGCTTGAAGGGTCGGATAGCTAAAAGAATACACCCGGGTAACTGGAACCCGTTCTGGGTTCGAGGTTCGGCCTCAGCAGCACTGTAGCTGAGAAGGCTCGTTTCCCTGGGCGAAAAAGTCGTACTGTGGGGCTGTGGAGGGCGAGGTCTGAGTTCCCTATGCGACTGGGACCGTACCGTGGCCCTGTTTCACCGGTAATAGCAGCACGCTGCTATTACACGTGTCAAATTGGGTTTCCATGGAAACGTCAACAAGCCTATTCCTCCAACACTACCAGAAGTGTGACGTCAGCTCGCGAAATGGAATAGCAGCGTGCTGCTATCACTGGCGAAACAGGGCCCGTGTTATGTGGGTGGGGAGGTCCGATCCGTCACACTTATCAGTCCTCGACTGTGGCTTTAATATGCACTAATTGCTCTTCAAAGGATTAACCCTATTAGTGGCAGGCTCCTGGCTACCCCTATTAGTGGCAGGGGGGGCTGTTTACGACCCCCCCTTGATATCTCGAGATCTAACGGGCCGATTTTCAAAATTCAAACGGCATTCGATTTCGCTCAACGTGATCTACATTTCTAAAAAATAAAAATTAAAAAATGTCAATAGGGGGGGGGGTAGAGGGGGGTAAAAACGGGCAAATTGCAGATACATTTTAGACTGTTTGTCACGGCCAGGTTTATGAACCAATCTTAACGCAACTTTTGCCGATCGATAGACAATGAACCAGGAATTCACATGGATCCTAAAAATATGCATTTTCAAAAATCATAGGCGGATAGAGATCATTGAGATTGGGGGTACACAAAAAGTATAGTAAATAAGGTTTTTGTTGGTACTGTTTCTAAAAAGGGTGGTAATGGTCTTGTTATGTTACAATTTTCTTATGAGAGAACGACTACAATTGTATTGGTCATGCATAGGCGGTGTCAGGGCACCTATGTTGGGAGGTAAAACATAACCCCCCTTTTTGGACGCCTGGATCCGCCTATTATAGCAAAAACGTGTCAAAAGAGGATGCACAATAAGTGTACATGTTATCACATGATACCTTTCATTCACTGTTCGTAAAACTTGTGCAGCATCGTGATCTTCGCCCAAATGACTCGCTTCACGAATAGGACCCCCCAATTCCCAGTGCTCTGGAGCCGCCCCTGGTAAAGTTATGAACTTGAAATTTTCAGGGAGTGTGCCCAATTTAGTTTTAGGAAAAGTCAGAAAATTTCAGCATCGTAGCTTCAGCGGTTTCGGAGATATTCCCGAAAAACCTGAGGGGTGGATGAAAACAACCCCCCCGCCACTAATAGGGTTAATTAATAATTACATCACGGTCGTCATGTATCGAGCGGGCGGGCGGGGCGACCGTTTTTTTTCGCGATGTTTGCGTTGGTATTTTTGGCGGTGGGAGGTGCCGGTGTTTCTTTTTTTATTGCGGCGTTTGCGGTGGCGGTGCTTGCGGTTGGCTACGGGTGTGCGGTGGGCGAGGTAAGGCGAGTGAGGGTGGTGAGGGTGTTTCTTTTTACTTAGTTTTTTTTATTCTAATTTCTTTTTCATTGTTTTTTTTTTAACCTTCGGTCCGGCGATGCTATAGCTCATAGACCACTATATACCACATTATATATAGTGGTATATAGTGGTCTATGTATAGCATCATCAGCATCACTCTGGGTAGGTATGCATTCGTGTAATTTATGCCTACATACCAATCGATTTTCCAAACACTCGTACTCATACCATAGTAGATTTTATTTCTATTCAAGCAATCACTTGTATCATATCACTGACGTATCAAACGTCGTGTAATAATAAGTTCACAATTAATGTAACACGCATTTTGCTTGTTAATCAAACATATGCTCGTAGTTACCCGGCCATGGCAACCAAGCGGAACTACGGCAATAGGACATGGTACCCGTTATGTGAAAAAGGGGGCATTAATGACGCCCGGTGCTG